GGAGTGATGATTTCATTCAGAAATCAAATGAAGGCTTTCTTTACTTTTTATGATTTTCCATACAACGGCGCAATTCAAGGCTAGTAGAATATTGTAGGAGAAATAGTAGACAAAAACCGATAGGTGAATTGACACATATGAGCTGGAAAGGAATAGGAATGGGATTCTTTTGGCAGAGGAATGAGAAGGATGACATGTTAATCTTTTAGACTATATTGATGTTATTGCCTCTCATAGACCAGCCTTCACAATCAACCCATCGTCGAGCGAGGATTAGGAATAAAACTTGGCTTGTAGTTATGATTTTAAACCAGATGTTTTGAACCTGCAAAACTGACCCCAATGTCTCTCTCTCTCTCTCTCTGTGATGATTTGTTGAGTTGTTAAACCTTAGCATTTCGTGCAATTCTTTGTAGTTAGCCTCCTTTTCAGTACACGTGCGATGGGAAATTTTGGGTCCATTCTAGTTGATGTTTAAATGTTAGAAGGATTAGTTCATTCATTTGTTGTCTCTAATGAATGGGGTTGTCTGAGTGTCAACTCTGTTTCTATTCTGTTAGCTTATGCTCTTTAAGGGATTGCGTTAGATAGTCATATTTATGTTTAATGATATCAACTCAATTAGACCTTATTTTCTAGAGCCAGATATGAATCATCCTGTTTCCTTTTACAGCTACCCCCTGTGGATCATTCTGAAAAGCTTCCTGAATCTTTGGACATTGGTGATGTGCCAGAATCTGTGTCTTATTGTGAGGTACCTTCTCAGAAATTAAAAAACATGACAGGTGAAGCTGGGCCTTCTACATCTGGTTCCTCCAACTTGGACGTAGCATAATCTCGTGGAAATTGATACTAGAAATTTTACGGTCTTTCAAACTGTTTGGACAGTGTATATAGGGAAATATTTGTTAGTTGAGATCGGTACACATGCAGTTTCTTTGCGTTTGTCGTATAGCTTGTAGCTGCTTGTACCTTCTCTAGTTGTTGATTGATGGTCAGTGATTGATAGGTCTTGCAGATTGAAGTTTTCTGATCTGAGATCACCAAATGTTAATATCTTGGGTCTTGACATGAATGGACGTGTTTTTGGAATGGTAGTATTGTTTTGGCTAGGACTTGATTTGTCTACTATGATCGTAGCATTGTATAATCTGTCAATTTGAAAGACTCTTACACAAGCCGGTGCATCGTTTTCATGTTCGTTTTCTTGTTCTTGATAAACGTGTACTCGATCCTCGACTGCAGTAATTGGTTAGTACATCACATTTTAAAATCATGCGTGTATATATTTTATATTGATTCTGTTGATCCTAACTTAAATCTTGCATGAAGTTAATAAATTTGACTTGGATCATTCAATATCTTGCATCATCTTCATTTGCAAATACTTGATTGAGTATTTTGAACTTTCCATCCAATTGATCTAATCCCAAAGAGCTTCTTTAAACAAAACTCGAGTAATTTCTCATTCAGTGGTTACTAAAACATAGGTGTGTCTAGTTGTAATTTTGTAATTTTGCTAAAACAAAAAGTAAAATTAGTATTATGAAAAAACTTCGCGGCAGAGGTGTGTCTAGTTGTCTGGGACGACTTCCGTAGGTAGCTCCTTTAAAAAGAGCCAAAAACAGCTTACTCACTGGTCTAAGCCGGTCCAGGTTTTGTGGTGGTCGGTGAAGTCAGGTTCACCACTTTTTCGAACAAGGCCTTTGTTGATCCCATCATGACCGACGTAGACTAGCTCGTTTAAAAAAAGAGCCGAAAACATCTTACTTACTGGTCTAAGCCGGACCAGGTTTTGTGGCGTCTGCATTTGACAAATTTATAAATGTTTATAAAGAGATTTTAGTAGTAGGTCCCGTAAAATGTGTGTATGATAATAAGTGGTGATTATTAATAGAGGAAATTACATCAAACCCTACTTTTAAATTACCATTTTCAATCTTGAATGAAATTTCATATTGCAAAAATCAGGTTTTAATTAATAATTTAATAACAAATTTTTTATTTTTATTTTTATATCTATTTACAATAAATTAATTTATATATACTCCCCCTACCCTCTCTACCCCAAACCCTAAAATCAATTAATCCATTTCCTCTCCACTCTCAATTCCTCCTCCCGTTTCTCTGCTGTCGCGCCACCAGGACAGTCTGTTCGTCTTCCTTCATCTTCCTCTCTCTTCGTCAGACTTCTCTCATCCTCGCCGTCGAAATGACCTCCGACGCTGCATCCCCTCGCTATGGACGCTGTCTTCACCCCTCGCTATTTTCTGTCTGGATCCACGGTATGCCCTCCACCGCATTTTACTTCACAAACCCTAATTACACACCATCTCTCTCACTTTTCTCTATTTCGCCGTCCTTTGCAATGCTCCTGTTAGAATTCATTCTGGCGTTGCAGATCGAGTGGACTCGGTGCGGTTGGCGGTGGGTATGGTGGTGGGTTTGCTGTGAGGTTGTGGTGTTGACTATTGGTTTCGGTGTTTGCGATGGTTGGGTGTGTGTGTGTTTGTGCGGCGGTGGTGGTGATCGTGCGGTTTGGGTGTGTTTCTGGTTGCGTGCGGTGGTTGCGGTTCTGTGCGATGGATGATGGTTGTGGTGTTTCTGTGCGATCATTGCGGTGTTGCTGTGTGATGGTTGGATGTGTACGCTTGTGGCGGGTGTGGTCGTGCTACGCGCGATGGTGGTGAAGATGCGGCGACGATGATGGTGCCGCTGGTGGAGGTAGTGGCGAAGTGGTGGTCATAAATGATTTGGTGATGGTCACAAATAATTTGATTTTTTGTGACCAATAAACAATAGGTGACCTATGAATTAGATAAACTGTGACCAGTACAAGCTGTGTGACCTAAAAATTATTAATTTATGACCAATAAATTGATAAGTTTTGACCTAAATATAATTTTTATTCAATTAATGTGATGTTTGTGACCATAAAATAAATAATGTGACTTTCAAATTTTGTGATTGTGACCGACGAACAAATTGTGATTTCTAAATTTTTAAGTTGTGACCGATGACCAAATTGTGACTTATTAAAATTTTGAATTGTGACCTAAATATTGTCGTCGGAGTTGGAGCACTTACCGGAATCGAAGCAGTCATCGAAACAAAGTAGTGGCGGAATGGTCATCGGAATAGTCGTCGGAATGGTCATTGAAAATGTCGTCGGAGATGACTTGTGACCGGAATTGTAGCCGGAATAGTCCCCGAAGCGATTGGGGTGGTGAAAGTGGGGTGTGGTAATTATATTATATTATAATTAAATATTTAATAATAAATTGATTTAATAATTCATTATTTCATAAATAAAAAATTAAAAAACATGATTTGTGAAATTT